CGTATAAGAGAAGAAGGCATCCTGTCATGGTGGGGACTTCACTGTGTGTAATGAGACTAGAAAGTGAGAGATAACTTTAAAGAAACAGGAGAGGCTGTAGTAAAAGTAAATGGTCTGGTAAAGCTCTAAATGACGAACAATAAACTTTGTCATCTTTAGTCTCAACTTGAGTTGTAGCTTGAGACGAGTCAGCTCAGACCCAGCGCCTGATTTGTATATTTATACAAAGACAAATGTAATACTTTTTATATTCTGTGTAAGGAACACTGCATGTTTTATATGCTTTATATTTTACTAATCCAATCCACAAAAACATCGTTCCACCTTAAGTCATTTTATGTTAACCTAAAGCTTAGTTAATTCTTATTTTGACAAATGCTAAATACTGTGAAAAGAAAACAATAGACATGGCTGATTGTTCACAGCCACATCATATTATGCAGGCTGGATAGGGTCAGGCACACATAAAGTCAATTAAGCTGCTAATTTGATGCCAGACTTCTTAATGAGATAAGCAACATGTGAATCATATTTCACCAAAACACACGCGTCGAATAGCTCAGAGATATTAGGTCTTAGCTCAGAGTCAACAATGGTTGATTGATTGAGTGTATCTGATTTATGGTAGAAAACGTGCAGAAAGCTAGCTCTCTTTTGCAGTCAGTTTTACAAATTGCATCATTATGAAGAAAATAATTGTTGCTGTAAGTTATGAAAAAAATGCATTAAAAACTAAACGGGCAGAAAAAGACATCGCAAAAAGATACAATTTAAAAATGTAAATTTAACGTACAGTAAGATGACACACTGATAAGAAAAAGTATTATTTATTGCGGGGGGGGGCGGATAAAACGGGTCTTTTAACCCTGTTCCTCTTATTTCAAGAGGTAAAGCTTTCCAAGTTTGGAAATATCTACATTTATATCAATAATTGCTCTCAGCACAGCTCCGTTACATCTTAAAAAACTCCAAAGTAAAACAATTTTTATAGAAACATTGTCTGTTAATGCCAATAATTCAAAGACTATAGTATTTTTGGTGAAAAGATTATAAGAAAAATTATTAGAAGAGTGCTATACACAAGGACTGAGATAAAGCCAAACAATGGGACATAAAAACAATTCTATATTTGCATGGCTACAACTTAAGGCAACTTTTTGTTTTGTTTTTTGAAATATGTGAGAACGGAGCCTTACATCTTATCATTTTCTAAAAGAAGACTGCATTGAACATTGATTTTGAGAGCAAACCAAACTGAAAATGGTGCATATTGTGATTTGAAACTTCTTGAAATCAGAATGGGATGAGAATAACCAGAAGTTGCTTTACGAGCGCTGATCTGGTTATCCCAATTTTTGATTCGATTTTCTCCAAAGCCATGTTCTGTTAGCTTGATGAGATGAGACCTGACCTCACCATGACCTTGAATATTATAGAATCGAGCAGGATATGTATTAATTGAATAGAAACCGTATTTACTGCACCATGTGTACCCTGGCTTACTCTACCACAGCCAGGCTTAGGGAGGACAATGGGACATGTTTTCAGGCTCCCATCAGGCATTGGGCCTCTGATGGACTCCTAGAGCTCCATGGCATGACCTAGTTTGCCCACATTTCCCAGAATGAGGAGGAGCCGCCATGTCTAAATTGTACCCAATGGGTTTAATTAGCTTTGCGTGTCAGTGTCGATGCACGCCAGAGGTGGATATATATACTGTAACAGCGGCTGCATGATAAACACTGGGGGTTGAGCGTGCTCCGCAGCATTTGCTCTGCTCGGCTTTGAATCAGGGGGAATATTTGTTTGGAAATGTAGAGTTTAGGGTAAGCACTCTGAAGAGGAGGGAAGCAGTGTCTATTGAAAAATCTACATGATGACACAAACAATTATGAGGAGAATTCATAACACAGCCAAAGATGGCTCCCTATATGACCTATTTTGGATGTTTCCCCTTGGCAAAGCTGCAAGAGAGAGAGAGAGAGAGAGAGAGAGAGAGAGAGAGAGAGAGAGAGAGAGAGAGAGAGAGAGAGAGAGAGGAGAGAGAGAGAGAGAGGGAGAGAGAGAGAGAGAGAGAGAGAGATGACTGGAGCCTATTGGGGTTGAAAGCAAAATATGAAGAGACTATTACTGCTGCCCAGGTCTTTCAGCACCTCCAGTGATAGCAAGTGAAGAGGAAAAAAGAGAAGGAGGAGATCAAATAGAGGAAGGGTTCTGGTTCAAAGTTTGGTGGAAAGTGAGGCATTGAGAGACAGAATGGAAAGAGGTAGAATAAGAAATGGAGGAGAGAGTGATGCAGAGAGAGAAGGAGTAAGAGGGGGATGGGAGTATGACCAGTATTGTATTTCATCTCTGTGTAGTGGACGTCTTAATCAACAGTGTCAGGTTTTCTTTCAGGAGGCTGCATGGTGTTTTTCATGCTGACAGCGAGGTAGCATGTGAGTGGCAAACAGGACGGAGAGGAGGATGTGCCCTCATACCGCTCATAAGCAGCAACAGCTTGCATTCAAGTAACTACAATGAATGTCCTCCCTCACAAAATAAAACAAAAGGTAAAAAGTGACATCAATGTTCAAAAGCTTTTGTATCATTACAAAATTGCAAAAATTAGGGATATTTAAATGTCAAAATGTATTAATATTCAGCTTTTGGGTTACATCAGGTTTTAGGAACCAGGGTATACAAATACTATTACAGGGTTACAAGTGGCAAACAAATATACAAACATACTAGGAAGTCGGATAAAAACAAAAGTATTCAAGCGAGTCGGGGATACTGCTTTCATTTAATCATATTGTGGACATGTAACCCAGACCTGTTTAAATACTCTGTTACTTTTTGTTAAGGCTTTTACTGTGGGACAAATAAAATATGTCTGGTTTTGAATAACTTAAGGCAACTTTAAAAGAAATGTCTTTTAACAAAGGTATCTTATGTATTGCCTATAGTGTTTTTCAACTCTTTAGGATGTTTTTCTTTGAATGTTCCAAATTATTTCTTGTGTTGCAGTTTGGGCATTGAAGCATTTTATTTAGAAAAAACAACAACTAATAAACTAGTAATAAAAGGCTATTATTAACAGTTATTATAATGCCATTATAAAATGCTCCAATAATGCTTCTATAGATGTTACTGAAGTAAAAGTCACAAAATATGTCTCTGAAGTAAAAATGCTCATTAGGAAGGGTTCCCTTCTGAGTGTTAAATTAATGATGCATTAAATTGAAAGCAGCATTTTAGTGTTGCTGCACGTGGTGTATGTAACCCCTTTGGGTAATTGAAACTAATCCATTTTATGAGTTATGAGTTTATGATGTTTCGACTTTTCAATCTGAATCTGCGGAAGAAATTCATTACTGCAGAGAAGTGCAGTCAAGTCATATTTTTTATATATATAAATGTTTTTAAAGAGTAAAGTTAAACAAAATATATAGACTTAAATTCCACTGTTTCATAATGAGAAATGAAACAGATTTTATTGGTTGAAAAATGTTGGTAATATTGAATGATAACACAAGAATCACTAATATTAACACTACACTCAGCTTCAAGACTATTATAGATGTATATATATTTATTGTTATAAAAACAACATGGTTCAAATATGAAGCATTATGCGCGTTTATGAATATGATCTGAATGTTTCCTTAGAAAATGCTGTGCATGCGTGTAAAATGAGAGATATAAAGTTGTGACTGATGACTATTTATGATGAGATGGTGGACGGTGAAATATGCCGCAAAAGGCCGTGATGTAAACAGTGCACAGGCCAGGAGAGCTTTTATGGAATACATGCAGCCCTACAGCCGGTGACACCACCTGAGTTATGGCTGTATTTAGATAAGACACGGCCGTAAATGGTTTCTAAATAGCGTCAAGGTCATGCAATGTAATGGGATAATGTTTTTGGGCGATGGAGACAAGATGATAATGTTTAGTGTGTAAGGAGCTGCGAGGAATTAATGCAGAGATAACGCCGATTTTCCTTATACTGCTGAGGTATGATGACAACAGGCCGGTGGAGCGTGTCTGTCCCAAAAGTACCAAATAATCCATCAAACTGTTCATTTACACTTCTCAGAAAGCTCTGACATACGCTATGTTATTACAGAAAACCAGAGACTGATAACACTGTCTGAATTTGGTCATGTAACGCACAAAACCATCATTACGCGTTTAAGAAAATATAGAAAATCCGAGAAAATGTTTTAAGAAAAAGCAACAGACTCAGGGAGATTGAAAGGAAATCAGTCATGTATAGCGTGAAGCAGTACATTGCAGTGAAACGCAGATTTTGTTGTATATTGCAATGTTTTCATCTCCAATTAATGTATTAATCGAAGTTTCGTTCTTAAAAGAAGAGGTACTACATCTCAATACATTAGCCTTTATAGCAAATGTGTTCATTCAAAATGATTGCAATTGTTACTCACAATTTCTTTGTCTCACAATTTGTGAGACAAAGCAAATGACAGTTGTATGTGTTATTCTCTTATATGAGCGCAAATTCAGAATCAAATGGATTTAGAGATTTATTTTTAAGTGTTTTAATTCATACTGTCTTAATGTCAATTTACCATATGAGACCAAGAATAAAATAGAAATTATTTGCCTCTGGATTTCCAAAAACACACAGGTAAACATCCTATAAGCCATATTGAGTGTGCGTAAAATCTGTGCGTAAAATCCCTTCAAGCATTTGAAAGGGCAAAACAATTTAAATAATAATCAAACCATTTACTAAACTTTAGATAGTTAAACCACTTTTTCATGTCTCATAATCTATGTATCCAGCAACGAAATCCAACCATCAGATATTTGCTCCCTGTGTATTGCTGTGAGATTACAGCACCATGGAACATGTTATTGCAAACGTCTCTGGACTCTCCTCCCACCCTGGGCGCTCTCTTCCATTGGCTGCCTCCTGACCACGCTGACATCCAAATCATATAAACCTTGGGCCTCACACCTTCACCAGGGTCAAATTTCTTGAAGCAAATCAGAGCAGCCTCTTCAGGAAGCGATCGCAGGAAGCTGGAGCCCAACACATCGCCGAGATTTGTTCTTTGGAATTATAAACTTTTTTTACGGCCTCTTTCGTTGAAAACACTTTCGGAATGACGACCATGTTAAGTTAGTGTGCGCTTTGCTTGACTCGTTAACGCATTCAAGGGAATACATATATAAGTATTGAATGAGTTCTGTTGGCTGCCGAGCAGAGACCGTTTTGGGACAGCACCGGAGACAGACCGAGGGCGAGGGAAAACACGGCAAAGACCACTTTCGTTAAACCGCTCAACATGAACCTCATCGGGGGCTACCAGCATCACCACCACCTGATGCACGAGCCCTTCCCGTTCGTCCAGCGGTGTCACCAGGATGCACCGTACTTCCAGAGCTGGGTGGTGAACCACGGCGAGATGCCCCCGGACTTCCAGATCCAGACCCCCTACCCGGCCGCGGAGCACGGAGCGCCCGGAACGACGCACGACGCCCGGCTGGAGGGGCTCCAGGCGGGGATGGGGAAGAGGAGAACGTCGGGGCCGAAGAAGGAGCGCCGGCGGACGGAGAGCATCAACACAGCTTTCTCCGAGCTCAGGGAGTGCATCCCAAACGTCCCGGCGGACACTAAACTGTCGAAAATTAAAACTTTACGCCTGGCCACCAGTTACATCGCCTACCTGATGGACGTCCTGGCCAAAGACACCGGGGAGACCGAGGGCTTTAAGGCCGAAATTAAGAAATTTGAAAACCGGGATCTAAAGAGGAAACGTGATCAGGTAAGTTATGAGTGTGTGTATCATGGCTATCAAAATTAGTTCATTCCGAAAAAACAGATCAGCAAGTTTAGGTTTCTAAGTAAATGTAAAAAACAATTGGTTAAAATAGAAAAAACTATATTTTACGCAGAAATTGAACCATAGGCTCTGATTTATTAGACGACAGCTATACCACAGGGTTTAAAAACATAAGTGACTACGATTTTTGCTTTTCGAGTCTGATTATCATCTAAATTAAAAATAAAATTCCAATCAAAATGGTTATTCAATTATATTCTAGCAAATACATCCAAAATAAGAATTTGCAGTGCAGCCTATTTAGTAGTATTTATTTTTCGATTATGCTTCACTATAACGCGAGAGTAGGCTCATCAAAGAAGCTGCAGCTGCGTATAGAATCTATAGAATATAAGCATGATGATTAAACGTGTATAGCTTTATTCAAATTGGTATCACTAAGTCACATGTTGACTGTAATGTAGCAGTAACAATATTATACTACTTTTCCAACTATCTGTAGCTATACTGCTCACCATATATCGTTTTTGTCTGCATTAAATTACAGTTAAAAATAAATAGTCCAATATTTTATATAACACTCACATTCTGCTTTAAATAATAGCTTTGTTTATATACATTTAAAACCTGCATATACAGATTACATAACGTGATATTATACATTGTTACATATTTGTAGAATTATTTAAGTTAATGTAAGTTAAACCTAAATAATTAGCCTGTAATGGCCCCAACTGCGTCACTGCAGTAGGCTTTTCAGTGTATTTCAACTTTCTAAGGAGTGTAAACCTAAATTATAAATAGGACCAACATGGGGTAGAGAAATAAGCAATATTGACTCTCTTCAAAGTTCGCTTAATCTGAAGTTAGTACATTTGAGCCTTGCTCTCTGATGGTAGCTAATAATAATAATAATGTGTCTTTTCATTTTGTATTGTTGCTGGTACAGCCTGACGGGCTGCAGGAGGCATTAGGAGCCGAGAAGAAGGCGAAGGGCCGGACCGGGTGGCCGCAGCAGGTCTGGGCTCTGGAGCTCAACCAGTGACCCCCCTCCTCCACTCCCACCCCCCTAAAAAACCCCGAGACTCTGGATTCAAATCAGATAAAAAACCACTGCCTGACTGAACCTAAACACACCGCTGTGCAAGTGCAATGAAGCACAAAATGAGAGAATTAAAGGACAACATGCTAACAAGGTGAGGAGGAGAGCACCATGGACACTCTGTTGATCTTCTCTCTCCCGGTGTGGTTCACTCCACAGACAATTCTGACTGTAGGTGTTTGATATCTGTGGTATTTCTGTTTTTTGATGTTTGTACTGTAGACCAGATGTTGCCACGGTGTCAAAACACATCTGTCTCCCCGGAAAAATGTGTTTTTATCTGGTGTCTTGAGTGGTGCTGTTTTACACATGAGGACGTAAAGCAGAACATAAACCGAACAAATGGAGTAAATGTAAGATGAGGTCGGATAGGAACAGCATTACAGATTAAATCACAAATATTTTGTACACTTATTTGGGCTCAGCTGGGTTTTTTCTGCCTGAAATTCTTCGTAATTTATGACAAATTAGTCACACGAGCCGCACGGCAGAGTTTTTGTGCAATAACAAAGCAGTTATAAACCCAATTATCTTATAATACTTTGCCTATAATTATAACTTTGAAAGAATATTCTGGCATAGACTACTTTATTTGTTTTGCTCCGTGATGCCAGCCTTTAGTAGAAATATTCAAACTATCAAAACATTTTATACAAATCGGATTTAGTTTCATTTTATTACAATGCTCAGTAGAACAGTTTTTAACGGTTCACATTAGAAAACTGACGTGGTGTTAAATCACACAAACCCATTCAACTATAAAACTTCTATGAATTAACTGATAAACTCATTAAAACCCAGGCAGGCCTTGTTGTATATGATGTCGTGTAAAACGGATATGAAAAAAAGAAATATCGAAAACATTTAAAGTCCTGGTGGGAGCCGAGCCCAGAGGAAACACATTTTTTTGGGGAATCTTTTTTATTTGTTGTCACTGTTTCTTCCCTCTGAATTTGGCAGTCAGAATATTTACAGTATTATTAATCAAGTATTTCCGGTTAGATATGTTACAGACAAACTCAAATGGAGTCTTGAATGTAGTCTACACTTTTCCGGCTGTTGTTGATGTTTCTTGTTGAACATTATTGAATTTACTGAATCTACCTCAAAATTAATGTCACTGTCCGTCCTGAGACACAGAATGTTCCGTTAACGCACAGCTTTCACTCCGACAAACACTAAAAACTAAAAAAAAGGTTTATTTCTGTGCGACATGTTGATTGAAATGTACATTGGATGTGAAGTTATATATTGTTCCGTAAATAAATGAATTATTTTAAGTCACTTCAGCTATGACCAATGTGTTTTCACTTATATCATTAATTAATGTAATATTCAACAAACAGTACACACCAATAACCAAACAATGTCCTCGTTTTCTTGCCGTTACGGGTATAATCATCGGAAACAATGGATCAGGAATTGCTCTGGAATTAACCAAATAAAAACCACTTGGTTAAATTATTATTTAAAATACAAATGGACTATATAAATGCTTAACAAATTCACAAGTCTGAAAACTTTACGTATTGAGACTTTTATGTTGTTAATGAGTTTCATTATGGGCCCACCTTTATTTTGCAGTAGCCTATATCCTTGCAGGATCCTTACACAGTAGGCCATTTTAGCATATTTTAACATATTTGGCACAAGAATGGAATATAACAAGCAGATGTTGCGTCAAAGAACCTCTTTGGATTGGTTTAATGTTTGCAGGCCACTTGAAATCATGATGTTTTATCTAGACGCCGGTGGGTGTGACTTCATATTGTAGATCTTTCCATGGATCAATCAATACATAAAATAATATATTATGAATGAACAGCATACGTCTCTTATGCAATTTTGAAAGCGTTCATGTAAAGGTGTATGGATACATTAATAAGAGCGTATCAGGTAAACCACACTTACCTGAGCTTTCCTGTGTTGAATTCCGTGCGCGAACAAAAGTTTCCCCGGTGAAACCAACACCTATTTATCGTTCCGGGGGGGTTCATTCTGGAGTTAATACATGTTAGATATAGTGGTGGAAGAAGTACTCAGATGATAAGTAGCAATACTACAGTGTATAAATACTCGGTTGCAAGTGACAGTCCTGCATTCAAAATTGTACATACGCAAAAGTCCAAAAGTATATTAGCATCAAAATATACTTTTAGTAAAAGTAGCCTACTCGTCATGCACCAATAAGCACCATCGTTTTAGTATTCATGTATTCATGTGATCATAACTTCAATGTTGGACTTGGTAAAGGTGGGTTTATTTTTAATTATTTTAAACACACACTGTAATCTTAATCTATAATAAAATACAATAATATATTAGAGATTTTATATTCTAATTATATTTTTATCTTATTATTTAAAACTGCCAAGTCATAGTCATAGTACCTTAATCTGTAAAATACATGAAGTGAATAAAAAGTAACACATTTGCCTACAAACTGTAGTGGAGTAAAAGTATAAAGTAGCAAAATGGAGAGTACTTGAGTAAAGTTAGTTACATTCCACCATTGGTTAGATGTATGTTTAGTAGCTATGTTGTAAATAAATCATTGATAGTTGTTTATGTTTATATTGTTTCAGTATTCTATGTAAAATCGGTCTGAGGCCCCCATGTTCTAGATAGCACCTTAGGGTGGCTCGGTCTGTAAGTTTCATTTTGTGCCAGGCAGTGCAGGTGGCAGTGAGTGAGGGTATGGCTGCAGAGTACTACATGTTATTCATTCTATATAAATGCCCACATTTGGGCATTATGTCGTTTCTCGGCCTCCTTACTTATGGCCTTGACCAATCCACCGGTCAGTCTAACAAAATATGACAACAATAAAATAAAAATAAAAGATGTAAGGACTGTTATAATCTCATTTGCCAGTGCCTTAACCTCAACATTTGTGCATGTATAATTTGAAACACTTTTTTAATGACATAACATCATTTCTCCAGTGACGATTAGTAATTTGCAACATTTATTCTGTAAATCCACATTTACAATTGACAAAGGCTGGATTGCAAACAGTTGTATTTATTGGCTCAAAGGCACCCGGTGGGCTGCAGTCTTCTACTCTTCCATAGTAATTTAAGTTTTTTATATTTTTGTGATATATAATTTAACAATACACCAACAAACAAGTTTTTCCGCCTAACAAGTTTAATCTACTTTTAAAAATGTATTTTGCTGCTGCCTTTGGGTTGATTTGAGTCTCCTAAAGTCTCTGGGTGTTTAAAGCTCCCTTCTCTCTTCCCCTCCAACTAATATGAGGGTCTGTAGCGACACCTAGTGGTTATCGATGGCAGTTCCTGAAACAAATCCAACCTAGACATTCTTCATGTTTAATTTGAAAAGGTACAGATATCATTTTCATGGTATTAATTGGGTGTTCCCATAACGTATTGTAAAATCAGCTGAAATATATACAACATTTGAGCAGTATGAATGAACAGAGACAAGACCGTTGTTTCTATCTGTACAATACATTTATTATTATAAGGAGCAATAAGCAGCCATATTTAAATATGTTTTTTTCTAATACAACAGTAAGGTTAATGTGGCATGGCCTATATGTTAAAGTTGGGTGTTATCTACATGACACTAAAACCTACAAGCAGAACTGAAAATATAACAGACACTAAAATAAAAATATAAACCTTTGTTGAAGACAACTCAGTTCGGTGAACAACCTTAAATAAGATGTGTGACAGAGGATGCAAAGTGATTTTAAAAAATCCCTACAGAAATCCCAAACTGTGTGTACAATGTAGTCACCACAATGAAAACAACAACAAAGAATTGGACATGTAGAAGAGTTGTTGTTGTTGTGGGAAGATGCAAAACGTTGTGTTAGCTGTGAGTTAGGAATATACATACAATTTAGTTTTTGAGCAGTTTTAGATCACACCAAATGTTGCAACAGGTGACACAAGTGGCTACCTGCCAAAGGCTACTTTCCCCATAACAGTTGTGGCTTAATATTATTGACAAATACGATCCAAAAAATGACAATTTATCAAACAGTGAATCCATTGAATATAAACCTGAATATAATAATTGCCAAGATGCAGAGTCACTGAGCTTCATTTCAATTAACACAGTAAATCATTTAATAAATGGTCAAACTCATAAAACAAATCCTGTTTAGTTGTGATGTGACTTTTGGTGCCAAACTAGACCTTTCCTTTAAGACATTGAGGGTAATACTGTTAATTAGAAGTGCTAATTCAACTGGGAATACAAATGAAATAACTTTTAAGAGCTCATTAGCCAACTTCTACTGACATTTAGATTTTTGCTGGCCAATATGGAAGGCACGCATCGATATCTTTTTTTGTTGATATATGTAATTAATTATTCAAAAAGGCAAAGGGAAAACCCACTTTTTTTAAATGCATCTGGGTATTTTAAGTATCAAATCAAGACTTCAGTCCAATATAAACACAGCTCTTAAATATTAAAATGGCGCAAATAATTACTCTTACACCCCTATCTCTCACACACAAAAGTTCCACTTCTGGTGGAAAAGAAAGATGGGACAAAACAATTCTAAATCATATATGCACACAGACTTTATACAACTTGAGGCTGAACTAAAACATTTAGTAGAAAACTGGGTTACAAAGAAAAAAACCAAGCTACCAACACCTGTGATGTTTGTGTTGTTAAGTACATTAAAGAGCTAGCAATAAGGGGAAGAGTGGGTCATAGCTAAATGCTACATCATTCACCACCATCGGTCTTCATATGCATCACATCCAGTTGGAAAAGGGCGAATAAAGATTAAAATGTAGGACTGAGATCAGCTTCTTTCTTTTAGACATTATTGAGAATCAAGAATTCTTGATCTGGTTAAACTGACCCTGATCCCTGGATGTAACTTCAGCAAAGGCAGCGCCCCTTTCCAACAATTAATTAATTCACGTTTAAAAAAAAAAAGAAAATAAATCCCACTCAACATCATTCAATTCCAACAAACGTTTCTGTTTGGCACAAGCATTCCTCTCTGTGAAAGTGTTAACAGTCTACTCGGCAAAGAAAGATTCCCCCAAATTTACAGAAACACGTTTCGTTTTTTTTTACTCTTAAGGCAGCTATATTGTACTTTGCAGTCAACCAACTTACTTAAGATTGGACGCTGTTCTTTTGTACATATTGACAGATTACATTACAGCATGACAACATAAAAACCCTGTGGAGTGAGTCCCGGGACCTCAGTCTGGCTTTTTTCGGAGAAGAGGGAGAGGAAATGACCATTGTGACAACATGCGCAGAGACAGTTTTTATATGAAAAGAGCATAATAAGCAAGAGATATCTCATCCCACCCTGAATTCTCCTCCAATTCAGTGAGATGTCCTCTGAGGACGACAAGAGTCTGTCTCTACAGAGGAGCGGACGGTGCAGGGTTGCAGTTGTTGTTGCCGTTAGTGGTGTCCGGGTTTCTGAAATAGCTGTAGATTATTGATGGTTTTGTTGTAGCTACTGTGCTTTGTGTTGCGAAGTTTAGTCCAGCGGTTTCCCGCCGTCGCCTTTCTGGTCCAAGCGGCTCTTGCTGCTCTTCACCATGTAAATAAAGTAGGTCAGCGTCTCCTTCTCGTTCACCGGGATATTCCTGAAGTGACGACTCACCGTCTGAAAAAAAGGAGAAAGAGGTTAAAAGGAAAACTCTGAAAAGATCTCTCATGTTAATTAACATATCTTTTTCAGAAATGTTCTGATGTGCAAGTTCCTGCTTCCCAATAGGGCTGGGAAATGTATGGATACTATACCAATATCATGATATGAGCGATATCGTCTCAGCTTTTAAATCAAGATAGTGCATGTGTCTGGTTTTAAAGGGATGCATTACAGTAAAAGGATGTCATTGTTTTTACATTTTTACAATATTTTAACTGCCTGTTTTATTATTTTTGCTTACATTTCCTCATTAAATCAACACATATTCATTATCGTTTAAATATTTAATTAAAGATTCAGTATTAAACCCAACAATATTGTCACAATAGAAGTTTGATCAGAAATATAGAATATTAAATAAAAAAGTTAAGAGTTTTTTGAATATAATTTTGTACTGTACTCAGGAAATTGCACACCAATGCCACACATTTGGAACATTTGATTGTTTCTGGGGAACTAAATAGGATAATGGAACTTAAGAGTTTTGTAATAATTGTTTTATGGTGATTTTTTAAGACACTAACAAATGATGATGTTGTTATGGTAGACATGTAATCAATACTTAAATGAAGCATACAACTGGTTGCTTGGATTTTTAAAGGAGCCTCAAAGAGAAGTAAACAAACATCCTCTATGCAGCCTCTAACTGGGTCCCTGAGAGGGGCCGAAGACGGGGCCAGCTGTGACTGGTTGGGGGCTGTTGACTGGTCCTTTATTAATGATGTGGGAGGCTCATTAATAGGGGGGACTGAACCTGCCTTAAAGCCTGGGGAAACATTCAACTAACAGCCAGTTTTCATTCATTCCCACTGTGCACGCCAGCCGAGTCACATCCAAGCCGTCAGAGCGCTGCATACAGGAAGCATTTGTACGGACGAGGGCCGAGCCAGCTGCATGGAGTCCACCTGTCCAGTTGGAAAATCAGTCCAACATGTTCCATGACCAATTACTGCGGAATAGGACCTGTGACACTGTGTATATCACAGTAAATGAGTGACATGGAGCTGAAGGTTAAGAAGAAAGAGGCCGGGTCCACCTAATGAGGGTGGCCTAATAGCTTTCAGTGTTACATAATTTCACTATTAGACAATTGTTAAGAAATAAACAACGTAATTTAAAAGTAAGTAAACAAAGATTCCAACTTATAGGGAGCTGCTTTAAAAGGTTTTGAGAATGAGTTAATTTGACTATAAAGAGGATTGATTTTTAAGTCTTTAAGGTTGCGCTCACACCAGCCTTGTTAAGTACGATTTACTCGAACCCTGGAGCGTTTAACCCCTTGCTGCGGTTCGTTTGAACGCAGAGCTACAAAGAACACAGATGCCTTCTGGATATCTGGACAGAAGAGAACATTTCTCAACTTTGGGAAACGGTACACAAGAACGTGGAGGTCGTCAAAAATCTTTCGCTAAAGAAGGAAGCAGAATGGATTGAACCGGACTGTTGAATAGTGTTGTGCAAAAGTAAAAAAGCTCTGTCACCAATACACGAGTGAGCGACGCAGAAAATTGACAGCTCCCCCGATATTAAAGACAATTGTATTTGGTATGACAAACTCCACAATATCTTGAACACAAGACCCATAGTGAGCCCAACTATAAACATAAGCTATGCTATATTTGCTTTTGTGACAGCTTATCTCTCTGGTCCCCTATGTACAGCAAAAGGGCCATGTTACACTTGCCACCTGTCGTCGTTGAAACCTCCTTCTTACTGCAGAACGTCTCATTATATCCGTTATAATGTTTTTTAATGCACGTTGTACGATTATATAAATCACATGTGCCGTCTGCTAGAGTCTGTTGATATGCTCTCTAGATTATCAGCAGCATGAAAATAACCTGCTCCATGGTTTTACCTGCTTAATGTCTGACCAATTGTTGAACAGCATTTCCGTGCACATTACTTTTGTTGACTGTTTATAGTCTGTTTGAGGTTTGCCTGTGTGAAAGCAAACCAAACCTTCTGAAAAATGAAATAATGTACCAAACTTGCGGCCGGTGCGCACCAAAGAAGCGGACTATTAGGTGTGAATGCGACCTAAGTCAATAGTCTGCTGCTGCTGCTAGAGGCAGGGCATTTCTAGTTTCAGAAATAAAGATGTCCTCCATGCGCAACTGTCCCACAATCGGGACAATCTGTTCAAGGTTCAAGGTTCTTTATTGTCAATCTGACATAGCTACAGAGTAATTATGCAGTTGAAAATCTTATATCACAGGCTTCTCCAACAATGCAACATAATAACATAATAACAATAAGAGCATGAGCAATACAAAAATAATAATAGTTATAAAAATGAAATAAAGTTATGATGTGGAATAGTGCAGTATGAGTCTATATACAAGTTATTGGAATGATATATATATATTAGGTATTAGATACATACTACTGAGTAGCAGATGAATGTTTGATGTTGTTTCAACAGTTCAATTTTTTAACAGTCTCACTGCCCGCGGGAAGAAACTGTCTCCGAATCTTCTTGTCCTTGCCAGGATGCTGTGGTACCGCCTGCCAGACGGCAACAGAAAGAACAGTTTGTGGCTGGGGTGATGGGGGTCTTTGATAATCCGTAGTGATTTCTTCCTGAGCCGCTGGGAGTAAAGGTCCTCCATGGATGGCAGCTCCGTCCTGGTGATGTTCTGTGCAGTTTTCACCACCCTCTGTAAAGCCTTACGATCGAGGTCGGTGCAGCTGCCGTACCAGGCCGTCATGCTGCCAGTGAGGATACTCTCTATCGTGCACCTGTAGAAGTTGCAGAGTATCCTGGGATCCATTTTGAACCTCCTCAACCTGCGGAGGAAGAAAAGCCGCTGTCGAGCTTTCTTGGTGATGGTGGTGGTGTGAAGAGACCATGTCAGGTCCTCAGTGATGTGGACCCCAAGGAACCTGAAGCTTTTGACTCTCTCCACCGTAGTCCCATTGATGGCGATGGGGGCGTGTCCCTCTCCCTGCTGCTTCCTGTAATCCACAATCAGCTCCTTTGTTTTGCTGATGTTGAGATGGAGGTTGTTATCCTGGCACCAAGATGTCAGGTTTTTGACCTCCTCTCTGTACGCCGTCTCGTCATCGTCTGTGATCTGGCCGATGACGGTCGTGTCATCAGCAAACTTCACGATGGTGTTGGAGCTGTGTGTGGCCACGCAGTCGTGAGTGAACAGGGAGTAGAGGAGAGGGCTGAGCACGCAGCCTTGAGGGGCACCGGTGTTTAGAATCAGGGTGGAGGATGTGATGTTTCCCACCCGCACTGCCTGGGGTCTGCCCGTCAGGAAGTTCAGGATCCAGTCACAGAGGGCGCTGTTGAGCCCGAGGTCTCTGAGCTTGATGGCCAGCTTGGAGGGCACAATGGTATTGAATGCTGAACTGTAGTCAATGAACAGCATTCTCACATATGTGTTCCTGTTCTTCGGGTCCAGGTGTGAGAGGGCAGTGTGGAGGGTGAGGGCTATGGCGTCGTCTGTGGACCTGTTTGCTCTGTAGGCAAACTGCAGGGGGTCCAGAGATTCCGGGAGGGAGGAGGTGATGAATAATTTGACTAACCGCTCAAAGCACTTCATTATGATGGAGGTGAGTGCTACTGGGCGGTAGTCGTTGGGGCAGGTGATGGTTGTCTTTTTGGAGACAGGAATGATGGTGGAGTGTTTAAAACATGTGGGGACTACAGACTGCAGCAGGGACCTGTTGAAGATGTCTGTGAACACCTCTGCCAGCTGAACTGCACACACCCTGAGAACACGGCCAGGGATGCCATCAGGTCCAGGAGCCTTGTGTGGGTTAACCCTTTTAAAGGATTTACACACATCTGCCCTATTTAAAACAAAAGGGCAGTGTAGCTCCTGGTCCCTCTGTACCTCCACAGCCCGGCTGCTCTCAAAGCGTGCAAAAAAACTGTTTAGCTCATCTGGGAGAGATGCGCACGCAGACACTCCCGCAGCACCCCCAGCTGCTCCTTTGTAGTCAGTCATTGTCCTTAACTGTTGACTGTTTATGGATGTTTATTTCAAATGTATGATTGAATGAAAACAGAAATAAAGTCCTTTCTCTCTCTTTGTTTTTCTCTGCCCTTCTCTTTTCTCTATCATATAACAAAAGATTACGCTGCTTTTAACATAAACCAAAACCAGAGTTGACCCGAGTTCCTTAACCTTTAGAGTTCTACCCTTGTTACACTTTCCAGCTTTTTTTAAATGGTAACTGTGATGAAAAGGGGCTAATATGCAGCATTCACATCGTTTCAATGGCTCCATCGATGGAGAACACAGCAACCCCTTGAACTGTACAAAGTAGGAAGCACCATATATGTAGTGGAGAATATCTCAACATTCATTCAGTTCTGAGTGTTTTCTTACCTCTGCCAGCTGGGCCTTGTTGAGTCCAGGCCGGGTCTGCAGCTTGTAGTGTCGCTTGTAGCGTCTCAACGTGTTCACTTGCAGCTGGAACAGGTCCACCTGAAACCACAGCAGAGACAGGGAGGCAGTCAGTCAGTGAAATTTGAAGGACGGTATCTTTTCAGTCCGCTTAGTCTTTGACACATTTCAATGATTTACTTAACCTGTTAAGCCGTGAGCCTGTTTTTCAGGTCTCAGGCTCGAAAATGACATTCCCAGAACAAATGACTATAACTTCACTTCTAAAAGGGTGAAATTAATAATCTTTGTTCTCAAAGCAATGATAAACCTGTGAGTTGGATGTAGAAGAGTCAGTATCAATATAGATTTTTTTTAAATTTTAAAGTAAAAAAAAATTAAGTTATAGTGTCCGTCCAAAAAAAAAACATTACTGATAATGAAGACCACCCTTGAATGATGGGATAGTAGACTAAAAGCTTTAGGAATCCAAACATATAATAAGTACCCTGTATCAAGATTGATGCAAAACAAGTGACATTTGACCTTTTTAAGAGAGGTTTAGCAACAAAAAAAAACACTTCTGTGGTCATTTGGGTGGATTTTCCATATCTATGGCCCCCCTCGGTCGATTTTGATGATTGACACCTCTTTTTCACCGTTAGAGCCAATAGATTCGAGGGGAAGTTCCTAAAATCCATCTAAACATTACCCATTGGTGAATGAGTGATGCGTAGCCAGAACGCCCAAAACCGGAAGCTCTCATAGCAACTATATATGAAAACTCCGTTATTGACATAAATATGAAGATGGATTATCAGTAATCATTTCAGACACATTGGATTAACCTATGGATTAACCTTCAGCAGCGTTTTTATCGTTTTAATGCCATTGAACACAACTTTTAATCAGAACAACAGCATAGGTAAGACAATGTCCGGTTTTTGCTCCGTAAAGCTGTGTTGTGATGTCTGTTTTTGCTTCCCCTGTCGCGAGTTCTGATCGCTCAGTGATGATACTTATACCCGTAGAATCTGTGGAATCTCAGCTTGCTAATTGTTATCTTGTTTGTGCAGATCCGATATGTAATAAGGGTATTTATACCTAGAGTTCTGTGCTAAGTGTGTTAGCATTTTTTCGCTCAGGGCTCATTTAGAGATGTGAGACTTGTGTTTTGTTTCGGTAAAAATGGTTCGTATTGTCAGTTAGCTGAGTTTCTTACGGAGCGTCCACACAGCAGCGATAAAAAAATCTTGGACCGCTTCTGCCCATTCACTTTGAATGGGGTGACGTCACTTTGCCTCACTTTTTGCCGAACTGCATTGTGGGCAGCAGAGCGGAGATTTTCAGGATTCAAAGTTGAGCAATGTTCAACTTTTGAAGCTGAGGTGGAAGCGTCAGCCTATCAAATCCTGTGTATGCAAATCTGACAGTTCAAGCACTAGCCAATCAAACCGCATGTATGCTGGGAGAGACATACCGCAGGTCATTTCCTCATATTCCAAAAAATGGAGGAGAAATTAGCGGTAGGGAATCACCCGGTGCTTTATGACCAGACCTACCGGGATATAAACCGGAGGAGCCAGGCATGGAGGGAGGTGGCAGAGACAGTGGTAGGTTTTCGCCTGGGGAGTTTATATCCAGTTTACTTCGGGCTTTTTTGCTTCGTATGTCGCGGGCGGGAGATTCATGTGATTGGTTGTTGGTCGCCTTGCTCGCAAAAAATCCCCAAGCTTCAGATACGCCCACCTCCAAGATTTTTTTAACGCTGCTGTGTGGACGCTCCGTTACCGTTAAATGGATATGACACATTAATAGGTTTTTAAATGTTAAGAAGCCCTGAGACAGTTTCGTGAAAAAAAACGGAGGCCCCCGCCACAGGTTAAGACTCAATGAGGCTTTTGCTGCCTCTTTCTCTCCTTTTAAAAGCGATGAAACGTTAATATCTCTGTGGAGAAACTGGGTCATTGCCGTAATAAACACTCAAAAGCAAACAAACATAACTGAGTACACAATGAATTAAATTTGATTTGATTGAATTTGTTGTTGTTAGGCAAGCATATTGTAACAAAAATGTCACCATGAGTTGGTGTTTTTAAGGTTTTATATAAACTATCATCCTAGTTTGTTATGTTCCTCTGCAAAGCCTTTGGGGCTGCTTCTTTTTCCATTGTGCTTCATCTGTGTTGTTTGCAAGAAAGATTTCAGTCCCGTTACCTCAGGCACCTCCACGTCGTGATCCGGGGACTCCCCTCCATCGTCACTGGTCTTCCTCTTCCTCTTGTTGCGGACGCTCTGGATGAAGTTCTTATGGAAGTCGCAGATGTAGAGGTGTCTCACCTATAACGATAATAACGGGTATTAAAGGAGGAGTCCAACATCAAAACATATGTTTGCTCTAGCAGTAACACAGCGTAGGACCAAAGCAATACCCACTGCAAGACTAGATTTGCTTTCATTTGAAATTCTATAATACCAGTCTTAATACAATATCCGAGCAGCCATACAAGAACATGTCCAAGATAAACTATTGTAAAAACTGGCAAATACATGGTTTTAAACAAGAAGTATGTAATGAAGGATTTTGACACGCATCTTAAAACAGACGTAGTGTTGAGATTTGATACCCAACCATAACTACAAATTGTCTGTTATGTCAATATCTGAACAACTGAAGTTTGTTTATATTGGCATGTGCTTCTTCAACTGCAGCTCCAAATCAACCATTTACTCTGTCCTCTTGATCAATGTGCATGTATTCCCTGAGCCACAGCCACAATACGTGACTAATCACATGAGTTTGGCATGCCTGTAAAAAACAGGCGTTTGCTTTCTGCTGAGTTAATTAAAGATACTGTGTACTACGATATTACACCATGTAAGCTTAGTACTGAAATAAAGAACGGCTAGATTGTAAAACTGAGACTATTAGTCCATTAGTAGTTGACAATTATTATAAAAAAATGTTTTGGTGCATCTTCTCCAATGTAATGCTTTGTACATACTATCACTTTTGGCCAAACAAACATTGACAAATATATTTCAAGATGTCACTTTGGGTTTTAGGAAGCTGTAAGAGATATCGTCTGCAGATTTGTGACAAATGCAGTGGTGCATAATCTTAAACAGCTTCGCTATAGATCAAATTACCACACAGAGAAGACCAGGTCTATGAGGCCCCTTGAGGTCTGGGGCCTTTGGGACATTTGCTTGGTTGGTGATCCAGCCTTGGTCTATGACAATTAGCTCCACATGTGTCTTTCATGCGTCTTCCTTTCAAGGAAGGCCAGAACACGTTTGCCCAACATTGGTTGTTTGTCAAAAGTAAGCCAAAATGAAAAACTAGAAAAAATAAGCTAAATTAACGTGGAGCATGTTTTGGTGTTCTTTCTAGCAAAACAATAGTGTGTGCCACTTCAAAATAAGGCAGGGTACTTTAACTGACTGAGGTTAAACAACACAGAGCTCTGGCTTCTCTGGCAACAGCCATTTTATGAAGAGCTGCGGAGGCGTCTTGTATGAAACTGTTGTAATGAGCTGGAAGTTGGTGTGGACAGGAACCTGTTGTCCTGCACGTCGTCCAGGCAGCTAGCACAGTAAACGTAAGCCTGACTTGTTATAGGTGTGAAAACAGATACAGCTACAAGCAACAAGATATAACTCTATGACGGTGCTCTTTTGTTTATTTTCGTCAACCGTCGCCGACAGGCTACATAGCATTAGCTGACAGCTGAGAGCTAGCTAACTTTGAGCTATCGTCTGGCACTCACAATCACTGGTTTAAACTTCAAAACAAAACAATGATCATGTTATTTAACTTACGCTCTTGTCAATGTCAAGCTTGAGCTTCTTTTGTGATATGCTCTTCTGGATCCTCTTGCTGAAGGAGGCGTTTCCAGCTGACCGGCCGCAGCGCTCTCCGTCCTCGATCAGACAGCAGCTCTGTCCATAAAACGGCGGAGCCGGCGGTCCATCATGACTGTCTTCCTCAGTGCTAAATCCATTCATCCTGTGCTGTTGTAATGCTCTTCGTGCAAAAGCTCAATAAATAAAAAAATAGGGAAAAACGCGTTAGTTTGGCTACAAAGTCTCTTGTTGACGGGTTGCCCTTTTGTCAAAGACAATCCCGTAGCGTTAACGTTAGCTAGCTAGTTAGCTTGGCTAAGTCGCTAGTTCGAGGGCTAACAGCTTGTTGTTTATTTGTGCACTCTAGTCCCTTATGTCGAAGCGTAACAGCCTCCGGTTGAGGACATATTCTTACAGATTTCCGTCAGATTCACGCCACAACAGAGCTGCAGCTAACGTTACCTAGCCACGGTGTTAGCCGGACCGCAAGGTGGCTGAGCTGCCGCTAACAAATTCCTATGGTGAGACCGTCGCACTTCTTCCCAGTAACAGTCCGTTACCCTCCGGACGATTTATATGCGACAACAATCTCATACGATTTTAAGCTAAAAGACGACAAACCGCTACGTCTAATGTTACAACTTTGAAGAAATCACGCACTTAAGATACTGCAGCTCAACAATCGCGGCACTCTTTCAGAACAGCTCGTACAATGGACATGCTCCGTCTCCGTGGCGGAAGTTCCTGTCCCGCACGATGATTGGACAATTTTGTATGGAGGCGGGTTTAGTGGGGAAATTATGCCATTCCATTGGCTGAAAGAACCGTCTACCTTTTAGCGTCTCTTCCTGTAACACTCGGTGTAATGTTTTCAACTTGAAAGGGAGTTAAATGTGGTATCGCCGACGGTTGAAGCGGCTTCTAACTACACAGCAGAGTTGTGATTTTCAGAGACAGTTTATAGGAAATCTTTCAAGGATTTTACAACTCGACTACATACATCGACCTAATCGTAGGCTATGAACAGTAGCCTACATCCACATTCAAGTCGGAATCTGAACTATGAAGACGGCTCTTTGGGACAGGCTGCTGATACAACATCAGCATAGTACTTATTTATGTCATACAGATAATTGTTTACCATTTAAAATACTTGAATATAACTTTAGTGAATGGGGGATGTATGATCAACAAGACAAGAACAAGCTGTTGACATCGCCACGTGATTCCACCTATAACCACGCGAGGGAGATAGATATTCACAAATAAGAATGCTATAAATAAAACTTTAAAAACGGACAATTGTAATTCTATAAAGGAGGGAGCATTTAAGACATTAACAGATAAGGCTGTTTAATTGTTAGTCTCTAATAGCCTAGTTTCAAAAACACTGGCTCTTACAATTAATAATAATAATGGATCTTACAATTCAGATAGTGAATATCAAAAGAGTTTGCCATTTAACTATGCCAATCTGAAAAATGTACGTCGTTCAAATTTCCATTCCCATTTCAAGTGTAAAACTTTCGTCAAATATTTATAAGAAAAATATTCATAGTATCAATATAACTAAACATACCAAAGGCTATGGTATTCAATTTGATAAAGCTCCCTCTAGAGGAGAAAGTTGTTATACAACTATTTTCAGTAAATCATAGGCCCTACTTTATTCCCCACCATTGGCCTAATCCTAATCTTAAAGCTACTGCATATAGTTGTATTTTAGACCATATAACATCCTTTGTGTGGAAGAAATATGGGTCTGGTAAGAGCTCTAACATATTTGGGATGAAATGGAACCGCTACTTCAACATCCAGCACCAGTGTCCAATCTCATTAATGCTCCAGAGGCTGAAAGGGAGTAAATCCCTGAAGTCAAGTCCCAATATTTTATGGGGGTTCTGAAACCATGAGAGGCTGTTATAGCAGACTGAACTGGCCACATTATGAGTTGTTAGAGTTCATTTGGGGAGGCGGCCAGTCAGCAAACCCAGAGAGCGAGGAAAAGCTTTAAAGGTCCACTTAAATGTGAAGCCGTTTTTATTATGCAGGTCTCCTAATGATGTTCTTTGTTTGTTGTCATTGGTCTAATGTGATATTTGCTCTCATGTGCACACTCTCTGCCTCATCATGCTCGCCTAATAGCTGAGAGAAGATGGAGAGAGGACACTATGAAAAAATACTAAAGGAGTAACAACAATTGGATTACCTTTTCTGTTGGTAATGGACCTGGGCTCAATAAAGACTATTTAATGGGTATCTTTGACAGGAGTCTGTGGAAACGTAATAGCCTTCTCACCCATGTATGGCACGAGTGGAAGGGAATACTGATTGTGTGCTGACTGATTGACTTTAAAAGTGGTGGATGATGGAGCGCAGAAACATTACCAGGTTTTTCACTTTGCAATTTAGAGGTTTATATTATCAGGGAAATGCCTCTAAGAGGCAATAACATGTAAAGTGGTCTCTCAATGTATTCAAAGTTGTCCCCGCACCTCTCTCTGTCTCTCTCCCTCTCAAAGCTGGTGTGAGAAGTTGAGCGTTATATGACATCCCAGGAGACTGAGGGAAATGGGCCACGCTGAGGAGCAATTCTACTTCAGCCATGAATAAATCACTGCTGGCTAAAAGCTATCACAGCTTGTGTGTTGTCAGATGAAAATGATTATGAGATTAACATTTACTAAAAGTGTGTTTTAGCGCCATCAGTCACAGAGATGATTGAAGTCATAAAGGGGAGGGGAGCAACAGAGGTGACAAGAGAGGCAAATCAGAGAGGGCAAGGAAAGTTTCCATGAAAACACATGGCTTGAAAGAGCAACTTCTTATTGAGTGGAGATGTGAAAAATAGGCAAGGCAAACATTGCAACCTATGCTACATCCCCTTCTATGCTGAGAGACTACGAGATGACTTGGGCGTGGACATTTTTCAATGACATTGTAGGACTGGCTCTCAAAATAATAACCTATACTTGCAGGGTTGAAACTATTAACATACAACCCCCTTAGGACATTCATTGGTCAGAACACATATTTTTCGGACTCATTCAGCACCAACCATTAACATATCCAGCCTGGAAACCAACATCCAACCAACAACAAACTGGTCGCCACCTGGACATAGATTACAGTAAAATAGACACACTATAGAGAAATGAGAGTCATATTATAGTTATGTAAAATGACTTTCACGCACATTTAGTTTAATGTACTTTCTCAGTAAACCAGTTTTTCTACCTGTGTGAACCAAAGGGCTATGTCACATTTTCCTTCACACACATGATCCCCCACACTCCCAACTTTGGTGTTATACAGCACTTTATGAAAACCCGCTTCTCCAGTGGACTAAATGTGACTGAAAGCCAATTATCCTGCCTGTCACAGAGGGGAATGGAACATTTCCAATACTGTCTCATCTTCTGACACTCTGTGGAACGTGAAAGGACAAATAGGTCTGCTCTGTGCGGAGACTATTTCTAGATGGGGATCTGATGAGCTGTCTCAACACAATGACACGGTCTTCAGAAAAAGATTGCAAAACAATCTGAATCTGCTTTACCTCACCATATGTCGCTGTATGTGACAGATTATGCTCAGTTTTTTAGAGCCTTGTTGCTGGAGCTGTTTGTCCATGTAACAATGCATTTGGAAAAACGGTACGATTATCACAAACACATATACATATAGATTATTGACAAACTATTCAACATGATTAGGTCAACGTATTAGTTTATTAATACCAGAGATATATTGCAATAATCAGAAATAAAAATGATATAGCCATATTTTGTGAGTGTGATTAAACACGTAATTTCTGTACTAACACGCACGCACAAATGCACGCACGCACACACACACACACACACACACACACACACACACACACACACACACACACACACACACACACACACACACACACACACACACACACACACACACACACACACACACAAAGAAGTTAGAGAGAAAGGAACACGGCGCAGGCCTTGGAATCATAATAAACATCTTTTGTGCTCTAACTCTGTTGTGAATGTTGTAAAGGCTATGGAAAAGTGCCTCTGATAATGCAAAAAGCTGTGAAATATCAGCAAAGTGCTGAAAGGAGGAGAGGAGAATGCCAACATTAGAGAAAGAAACCAATTTTGGCTCTCCAAGTCTAATCCATTATCTCAGCCATTCAACCAATGATGAAGACACTTCTGCTCTGGAGGAGACAGACCGTAATAGAGAGGCTGAGAAACAATAAAGTATAAACCTATACTCTGAGGTAAGACTGCAGGCAGTGAGGGCAAAGATAAAGCTGTCAACATTAATTTTATAAACAGCACATTTGTGAAAAAAGCAAGGCTATACAGTGGTTATATCTTCTGCTGTAATTATTTATGAGAAGACAGTTCTTACTTTATGCAATACATATAGCAGAGCTACGATCAGAAAACAAAGTGTGAATCTTTTAAGTTGAAAAAGTGTCAAATAAGTTATCACTGTGACAGCCATGAATCACCGATCAGGCCACTAAGAACACACGTTTTCATGTGATCTATCTGTGAAATCAGTTTCTTCCTCCTCAAAGTAATTTAATCAAAAGAGGAACATTTTAAGGTTTTGGAATCAAATAAAGAGATTTAAAGGATCAGTTCTTAGTGATATATGAGATTAATTTTCCGTTATTCTGATGCCACTGTAAGTCTCAGACATGAAGTCCTGAGATCTTGAAGTGTTATAAGACATATGGTACAAGACCCAATGAAAATCATTTTATATAGTTAATAGGTTATTAATCACAGTTATAAGTCATTTTAACAATATTCAGGAGGAACTTTTGGGCATCAAAATAATTTCAAGGAGCCAGGCCGTCAGTTTGAGTTGTCGTGAGTCATCAGACATTGATCTGCTGGGTTCATAGCAACCCTGTAAATAAAAAATAAATAATATAAAAACAGAAAGCATCAACAAGTGTCAGATACCGGCCTGAACTCCGACATCCTCTTTGCAACTTAAAGTGCTGTACATTAAATTACCCACACATTATCATACTGATATTCTGCACAAACTGTGCTGTTGTATTTGCTGTAAATTGTCCTTACTGTAAGGTAATTATTATATGTACAGCACTTTGGCTCGACCAAAAATCGTTTAAAAATGTGCTATATAAATAAAACTTGATTTGATTTGATTTGATTAAATGATAAGAAAACACAGAAGGACTGAATGATCAAGATACATTTCTGTGATATGTTCAGTTTTAAGCTCCGACGATGCATAAGAAAGTGTGCTAAATCAGGCACTCTCGCCAAGCATGGAGGCACTTTGACTTATTGCTATCTGACCTTTCATGGTATTTTGAAAGGGCAACTCTGCAGACAGATGGTGCATATGCATATGCAAATTGATAATGTTAGGCGGTGGGCCATATCAGTGATTCTAATTATTTGCTCTGCACCTTTATAATGCCTCCCCCTGGCATAAATGCCACTGATATTTGAGTAATAGGCTCATTTTCTTGTCACTAAAACATACACTTCACAGTTTTTTGATTTACTGCATAATTATCAGAAATGCAGTCAATCTAATAATAATAATAATTCCTTACATTTATTATTATAGCGCTTTTCCAGATGCTCAATACCCACAGGAGCAAATTCAGGTGAAGTGTCTTGCCCAAGGACACAACGGCTTTACAGACGCAGCAGAGGTGGGTTTCGAACTGGTGTTCCCCAACGCCCCCTTGATCTGATGATCAACGC